TCATCTATGTAGTTAAATCATGTTGTGTAGAAATTACTTACCTCAAAGTGCTAGCTGAAAACTCTCTTCCAAAAGCTCCAAAAATTGCCCAAGAGATGAAAGGAAATGAGTTAAATGGTCTAAGTCCCGCATTTAATAAGTTGTGTACAGGTTAGGAAATAAGCTAAATGGTCTAAGTCCCGCATTTAATAAGCTGTGTACAGGTCGCAGATGTCGCATTTGCGACACCTGGTTTGCAAATGCGACATACTCATCGCAAATGCGGACCTGGGATCCTACTGCCAAGGTCGTAAATACGACCAAGGGGTCGCAATTGCAAATACTGTCAAGGTCGCAAATGCGACCAAAGTGTCGCAAATGCGAACACTGCCCAACTCAGGCTCCTTGGAAATTGCGAAGCCTTCCTTGCAAATGCGAGGTCCGCAAATGCAAACAAATTCTCGCATTTGCGAGACCTGCAACAGCTGCCAAGAAACACCATCCTCCCGAATGTTCGAAACTCACCTGAGCCCTCGGGGCCACCATACAACCACATAAGTCCAACAACATCATACAAACTCGCTCGAGCGATCAAAACACTGAAATAACATCAAAAACCACGAATCGGACGCCAAAACACATGGATTAACTCATGAACTCAAAAACATCTACAAATACTTCCACGCGTCCGATTCCTATCAAATCAACTCGGAATGATGCAAAATTTTGCTTGCATGTCTTAAATGACATTACGGAACTATTCCCGATCTCGGAATTTCATTTGGACCTCGATATCACCAAAACCTACTCCAAACCAAATTTAAAGAACTTCAAAAACCTTCAAAGAACCAACTTTCACTATTAGGCGCCGAAACGCTCCTGGGTCATCCAAAACCCGATCCGAGCATACGCCCAAGTCCGAAATCATCATACGAACCTATTGGAACCGTCAAATCCCGATTCTGAGGTCGTTTACTCAAAATGATGACCGAAGTCAAACTTAGCCTTTTAAGGCTAACTTAAGGAACCAAGTGTTCCGATTTCAACCCCGAACTCTTCCAAATCCCAAACTAACCATCCTTGCAAGTCATAAAACAGAAAAAACACATATAGGGAGTCTTATTTAGGGAAACGGGGTTCTAAAAAGAAAAACGACCGGTCGGATCGTTACATAGAGGGTTTTGAAATTAAAGAAAAATATCATTTAATGGTATATAAGCTAAAGAAGTCAGCTATATAAATTTTAATTATCCTCACGACTATGGTATTTTTATGTTTAACGATATTGTAGTATCCTTTGAATTTAAGATAATTAATGTTGATTATTGAATATACCAAGGATTAGTGGGAGTAAAATATATTTTATTCCTATATGTTGATGATAAATTACTTGCTGCTGATGGTTGGTGATTTTGCATGAAATTTTTCTCTCAAAGAATTTTAGAATGAAAGATATAAATGAGACATCCTTTTGTGACATTAATGAAATATTATATAATAGTTCACAATAATTGCTGGATTATCTCAGAAAGTGCATTTCAAAAAATTCTATAGAGATTGCATGCAAATGAGTATTCACCGATATTTTATCACTGTAAGCTACAAAAGGCATTGTGGTACATAAATGGAGCAAGTGATAAATATTTATGTTTATGAGTATCCGATATAATGAAAGTTGATTGGATACCTGGATTCAGACTTTTGAATAGTTTGACAGTTGACAAGAAAACCGCATTTAAGTAGTTGTTCCTATTATGTTAAGGAGCAATACGTGGAATAATGTTAAACTAACTGTCATTACGTTATCATTAAAGGAAGTAGAATATGTGACATTATGTTGAAATCACTATTCATGCTTTATAACTAGAGAACTCTATTTCAGGACTTAGGGTTGTCGACGTCATTATCAAGTCGCTGAAACTTATGATGGTTATTCTGTAGTAATGTTCTTCTCTAAGAATGACAAATACTCTAAAGGTACCAATTTAATGAAATAAAAGTACTTTGTTATCAAAGAGAAGATTCATAAACAAAGAGTGTCACCAAAGGTGATCTCGTGATTGTAGATCTATTAATGAAAGTTTACAACCAAGACATTTAAAGAATATGTACATATAATGAGTCTTGGTTGTACTTATGACTGATGTACTTATGTTATTTTGACACTCTGAGCTCATTTATGTGTTTCTGATGTACATTAATAATTTCCTGTTTCTCATAAGGGTATACACATTATTGTTTTGAGATTTTACAAGATAAGACATTATTATGGACCATAATATTTTATAGCTTATGGACCTAGTATGATGATTTGCTAATGTTGTAGTATATGGAAGGGAATATGTAGACAAAATTATATGTATAACCGCCATAATTCACATTTATCAATTTGTCGTATTATGGTATGTATGATGGACATTATAAAAGAGATTTGTTTAGGGACTTTTTACCTAGTTATATTATATTAGAAGCGTATTTACCTATGTTCTCTATGTTTTGAAGTTTTTAATAAATATCTAAATTTTTCTTATAAATTATATACATTGCTTCTTAAAAGAATCCTATCCCATTATTAGTGTCTTCAATTAAGGGATTCAGTTATATCCTTTCCACTTTTTTTTCTCTCATCCTCTCTCTCTCTCTCTCTCTCTCTCTCTCTCTCTCTCTCTCTCTCTTTTTACATCAAAATTCATTAATCTAATCCCCGAATCTCCATCTTCTCTCTTTCCACCATCACCGATAACTTTATATTATTAAAAAATATTCTGAAATTTTTTTGATAATTGTATGATAGTTGTATCATAATTATATTTGAATTGCATCAGATACATCAATGCCTAAAACATAAATGTATCATACTTGTATCACAATTGTATTTAACTTGTATCCGGTATATTAATACCCAAAATAATACGTGATACAATACTAATAAATTAATATACAATTATCATACTTGTGATACAAACTGTGAAATTCGTCAAGAAGGCACAACTACTTGTAACAATACAATGAATATACAACTATCATACATTTGTAATACAATTTTTGCAACAATTATGATACATATACAATTATAATACAATCGCGATACATTTCTGAAAAATTATGAAAGAATTATGATCTTCATCTTATTCAAGTTTCAATCACAACTATACATTGAAAATTTAATATAATCGTATTATAATTGTATTAGTGTTGTATCAAGTATTATTTTGGGTATTGATATATCATATACAAGTCACGTATAATAAAGATTTTAGAAAGAAAGAAAACAAGATTCAACGCTTACCCACAACTTGATTCTAGAGCAATGTTTTTGAATTTCGTCTGCATTACATCAATAAAAATAGAGATTTTGGGTGATTAGTAAAAAAGAGAGAAATTGAATTTCAAAAGCTTTGGAAGAGCAAAAAAATCTGCAACTTTTTTTTTTTT